TGGGCGTCGGGGTGGCACTGTCCTTCTGGCCGACATCGGCGCTGCTGGTGGCGGCACCCGACTTCTTCAAGTCCAGAGCTAAGCTGGACCAGCAGGACTCGGAGAACAGGTTCGCGTACACGGCCTTGATCTGCGCCAGGCTGTCCTGCGGGTAGGACACGCTGTCCGGCCCCGGCGGCTCCTCCTTCTCGTCTCGGCAGGAGGCGCCCTTGAAGCGGGCCAGCTGGTCGCTGCTCTCGCTGAGGGGCGAGCCGTAGCCGGCGTCCTGGTTCGTGGCCGAGCTGCCGGGCGAGCTCTGGTAGCTCGGGGCCTCCTTGGCCTCTGCCCCGTCATTGCACACGTAGTCGCCTTCCTGGACGTCCAGAGACAGCCCGGCCTGCTCCCCGCTGCCTTCATCGATCTCGGCCGCCTTCAGCTCTTCCTCGGGAACGTAAGCTGGAGGAGGAAAATGAAACACGGTGAGAAGAGTCATCGTCAAGGACGCGGCCTCCCCGTCCTCTCCGATGATCGTCAAAGAGCCGTTTGTCGCCCGCGCCCCCACGGACGAGGCCACCCCGCTTCGCAGGTCTGCCCCGGGACGACAGCCCCCTGAATGACTCAGCGAGGGGGCCTCAGCCGACGGTGGCCCCAGGCCCTTCTAAAGACGCTTGGCCGTAGAAGCCACGCGGGAAGGGAAGGGCGCCTGCCACCCCCTCCGGAGGCGTCTCCTTTCGCAAGCAATGACGTAGGAGCCCTCGAGCCTTCCCATCACGTGGGACTTGACTGCCAGCTTTCAGGGCGAAATATTCCACCGACGGTATCACGTGGTTTCCGTAAACAAAAACACTCCTTGACGGCAAGTGATAAAAATAGTCTTCACTAAGAAGGAGAACACGGCATAGCACCCCCAGCCCCCCGCCTGCACGGAGCAGCAGTCACCCCCCTGGGGATGCCAGGCAGGTGTCAGCGAGCCCTGGCCGTACAAAGCAGCGTTATTCACAAGAGCTGAAAGGCGCCAACGACCCAAGTGACTGACGGGCGAACGGATGAGCAGAGCCTGGCGCTCCGCTCGGCCTGAAGAAGGGAGGACATTCCGACACCTGCTACGACGTCGGTGACCTCGAGGACACTCGGTGAGTGAGACAAGCCAGAAATGAAAAGACACACACTGCACGATTCTGCTTATGTGAGGTCCCCGGAGGAGTCGAATTCACAGAGACAGGAAGTGGAAGGGCGGGTGCCGGGGGCCGGGGGAGGGTGCGGGGCTGTTCCGTGGGGACGGAGTGTCAGCTGGGAAGACGGAAAAGTTCTGGAGATGACGGTGGTGACGGCCGCACAACACCGCGACTGTACAGGATGCCACCGAGCTGTCCGCTTCCAAATGGCTAAAATGGCAACTTTCATGTTATGAATATTTTACGGCGTTAAATTTGTTTTTAATTTTAACAAGGTCAAAGGCATATGCTGCAGTGGCCTGCGCAGGCTACATGTGCACGGCAGGGCGACTTGGGTTGAAGGAAGCATTTCCCAGAGGAAACGACAGGATACTGACAGCTGTCACATGAGTAACAGGGCGGAGGGCACGTGACTCGTTAGACGCGTCCTGGTTTTTCCTGTGAGATGTATTAGATCCTTTAATATGGGGCGCATCTCATTAATGCCCATGGGGAGATAATTGCATGCATCCTGCTTACCTTATTTGACCAATGTATTTTCCTTATTATCATCATTATTATCATTTTTTAGGGGAATAGCTGGCTGAACTAGTGTTCCATGAACTACTTAGGATTTCTGGGGTTAAGCCGCTTCCCAGAAGGGCCCTATTAAAATGCGCTGATAGGACCTGAGAGGGGTGTCTCATTAAAAGCGATCACTCATTATCACATTATCAGGGCCGGATCCTAAGGGAACGTGGCAAAGAGTGACGCATTTTCCGGGACGGTTGACAAGAGTGACAGAGACTGCCTTGGCTGCCCGGGGCCGGGGGGCCGGGCGGGGGACCTGCAGACGGAGAACGTCAGACACCGGCCACCAGCTGTCCTGGGTGTGGGCACACGCCGTCATCATGAGCACGTGCACACTCGCCCACAAGCACGGCAAAGGACAACCGAGCGGCCATTCGGCTGGACCCGTCAGAATACGGCCACCCCACCCCTCGTCCGTGGGGGTACGTTCCAGGCCCCCCGGGGGACGCCTGCAACCGCAGGTAGCGCTGAACCGTCCATGTAACACGCGTACGGTACACACGCGTGTCTGTGACGAGGTTTCGTTTACAATGAGGCGGAGTAGGGGAGTAACAAATGGTAATAAAACGGAGCGACCGTAACGACCACGGGCCACGACGCCGCCACAGACAGTCCCAGCACCGAGACGGCCGCTGAGCGACTCACCGACAGGGAGCACACAAAGCACGTGGACAGAGGGACGGTCCCTGTCACGGGGGAGGGCAGTGCGAGGCTCGCCACCAACTCAACAGCCCTCAACTCAGAACCTGTGGACGGCTTATCGCTGGGATGCACCGTTTAATACTTTCAGACTGCGGCTGACCGCTGGTAACCGAAACCGCGGATACGGTGACAACCGTGCCTGCTCGCGTCAGGTGTCCCCACCCGGGGCACACTCCCACGCCTGGCGACGGTGTGGGCACCTGGAGCACGCGCGTTCGCGTCTGGCTCACAGCCGAATGCAGAACAGCGGTCCGGTAACACATCCGGGACTCGCCATCCCGTTCACGGCACGGAAAACGACCGGCAGCGCGAGACCCGAGGTCTAACTCGGGCGTCAGCACCTGGACAGCGCCCTGGGCCAGCCAGTGGCCCGCCTGTAAAATGGAAGGCTTGTGTCACTAAAAACGATTGCCACGTTCGATTTCGTCCACAACTGTCACAGGGTCAGGACGGCCCAGGGTTCCGAGGGCTCTCGGCCTAGTGCCCAGCCCCGCGGCCCCACTGCAGAGGCACAGGCCACACTCCCCGTCTCTAAGCAAGCCTGGCTGAGGCGGCCCTGGCCTGGACACGAGGCCCGCCTCTGGGGATGGTGACACGTAAGGCTACGGGGCATCCTGGGAAGGCCACGCTCATGTGAAGGAGGAGGGACCGGGACCAGGGCCCGGGCGCTGGCCTGACTCGGTCCCAGCAGCACGCCCCAAGGCGGTTCACGCACTGGGACCACCTGGAGGAAGCGCCTGCCGGACGGGTCCCTCCACCTTCAGGACAAGAAGTCACACCCTGGTAGATAACTCAAAGAAGCATCATCCAGACCGTTTGCCTCAGCGAGGAGACCAGGCCCCCACCGCCCACCCCGTAGTGGGCACCGCCAGGGTGCGGAGTGAACGAGTCCCTTCTCGGCTCCAGGGGACAGGAGTGGGCCTTGCTGCCGCCCCTCCACGGTTAGCTCAGCACCACCATCCTCACCCTCTGAGGCGGCATCTCTGGGCCCGAAACGGCACAGACGTGACGCAGTTGGCACCGGCCTGCCCCCACCATGCCCCGGCAGACTGGGCCGCCATCTGCCCCTGCTCCTCCGCGAGCCTGTCCTCCTCCCGAAGTCTAGTCCACACCTGGACGTTGCCAGGTTGAGCTGAGTGCATCTCAGTGACGACTCCACAGCCCCACTATGACGACCACTGCCGGCACCGGGCAGACCCACACAGCCCACCCCAGAACCGTGCAGAACCACACAGCCCACCCCAGAACCCTGCCCCGCCCTGGTTTCGGCAAGCAGTTCCCTCACCTGGATGCGGGCATGTGCTCGCCCACGGTCCTCCGGGAGACGGATGTGCGAGGGCGGGCCCTGCCTGCCCACCCTGCTGGAGCTCATGTCCCCGTGGGGAATGGGGCAGGGTGCAAGGCCCACGGTGGGACGGAGGGCAGCCCCAGCGTGGCCGGGAGAAGCCTGAGACCCTGCTGGCTGTCCCTGGCCCGGCCCACTGCACCCACCTTCCAGAGCTCCCCACAGGGAGGTGGCTCCAGTTCCCTCCCGCAGCCACACTCCAGTGCATGGCACGAGCTGACCATGCTGTCTACGGGTCCAGAGTGCAGCTCTCTCCTGCCACCCTTCCTGTCTGTCACCCTTCCTGTCTGCCACCCTTCCTCTGCAAGGTCTCACTGCAGCCCTTTCTGGCCAGTCCCGCCCCTGCATGACCGCCCCAGTGCACGCCCACGGCCACGATGCCCCTGGGCCCACATGCAGCCTGCCAACATGCCGGGCACAGGCCCTCAGCCTCTGCCGCCGATTGGGGAGGCCCGTGGAGGCCGGCGAGGCCTCGTGTGGCCGCCGGGGTGCTCGGAGCCGTCCTGGCTGGCTCATCGAAGGAGCCGCAGCTGCTATGACCCGAATTGACCATGGCGTGGGTGTGCCACAGACACTCCCCAGTAATCACGTGCACACAAACGACTCCCTCCTGCCTCTGCAGCACCCCCAAATAACAGCGCCTGGGCTCCCCTGAACTCAGTTTTACTGCCTCAGTGCCCGCTCCTCCAAGCCCCATCTCCAGCGCTGTCCCCACCCTCCACCTGGTGAACACACTCGTCCTCAAGGGGAGGCTCAGATGTCACCTCCTTTCTGACGCCGCCTCCTAATCCCCTCGCCGAAGTCACCGCTCCCCGCAGAATTAAGAGGTGTTTACCTGTCTGCCCTCTTAGTGAACCTGCGAACTCTCTCTCCCTGAGACTGCTGGGTGCCCCCCCTGCTGCTGCCAGGCAGGCCACTGTCATTTCGTCACCTTGCTTTAACCCGCACAACCCAGCCGGGTGGCGTCACTGAAATGCCTGCTCCGCAGATGAGAAAATCAAGTCTTGGAGGAGCCGACCGACTTCCCCAAGCCTACAGGGGACAACGGTGGACGCGGGACTGCAGTTCAGGCCGCCGGACTCCCGGTTTGAGAACTCGCCTCTGCCACCACCAGGACCAAGTTACGGTCCTTTGTCTTCTTAGCAGCCAGTGCCAGCGACGCCTGCGGTAAACATCTTCGAATGGACCAGTGACCCGACGTAATTCTGTACTAGGTGTCTAGACGCCCCCTGTGCGAGTCACAGCGTCGTAAGTGAGTCTTGATGAAAGACAGTGAGAGGACAGAAATCTTTAAATGGTGACACTCTTTGACTCGATGGTTTTCCCTTGGGGAGTATAGTCTAAGAAGCCGCAAAACTCATTAAAAGCACTATGCACAAAGGTGGCCTTTACGGTACCTTCCCGTAAAATCTGCTACTGTCCCAATCGTCCACGGTGAGCGTGGTTCGACGATTTGTACTTTATTCCCGTGATGCGATATTATTCCAACATCACAAAGTACATGTTAATGACACGGCAAAGATGAAAAAGCCAAAACACGAAACCGTATAAAGAGCACAGAAGAAACATCCCTTTAAAAGAACGTTAATGCCGGTTTTCTCTAGCTGCCGAATGCACGGGCTACGAGTCGAGCGAAGTGGATCGTGATAAAGATCCGCGGTTCCAAAACCTGGTTCGGTGTTTTCGGTCTAACAAACACGA